GAAAGAAACTTCAGCAGTATATCTATATATATTAGTGCCATAGGCGCACTGCATTCAAATCATTTACTCTCGACGAATTGAATAAATGAATATACAAAATTCATTCTTGAATACGACAAATGTGAAAATATGTCCAGTAGTAACCAAAGACATTCTCCAACAAATAAGTATTTAGTTGAAAGGGATTGAAAAAACATTGTTTTTTGAAGGCGGTATAAATATATATTCCTTTCAATTACACCGTCAACAGACACACTGCACCCATCAATAGGATCGACTTGAGTTGAGTTTCCATAGGGAGTTTAAGGGCCATGGTAGAAGGGTTAGTCGTGATATTCTTCAGTTTACTTCGAGAGCGCGTTGAATAAAAGGCTATACCTACAACATGGAAGCTAGTTGTTCGGGAACCGTGAAGCGTCCGAAACTATCAGCTTCAAATATAAATGAAAAAGCAACTGTTATGAATGTTTATAATTCTTTAAGAATACAATATTCGCCAGAAATAAAAAGTAAGGAGGAAGTAGCGCAAAAAAACGCGAATATGACCGGTGTCAATAGAAAACAACATATTTTTGGAGCCGAAAGTATCCACTGGCAGAAAGAGTTTGGTTATCGATGAAGAAGTCAAGAATTCTATTAGGAAAACAGTACACTATTTGTTTTGTCAGTTACTCATGAAGATAGTTTTTTTCCAGGTATAAGAACTAGATTATGGAAGATATTACAAGAGCTGAACTTCACTTTTAGAAAACAAGATAGAAAGAGCATGTTGATAGAAAAATGAGTTAATGAGGGTCATACAGCCTCGAAAGTTTGGCCAGACCAGAACATCAAAACCCTGAAGTGTGTCTCTCAGTACAGCCACACTTTTCTACATCTTGAAAATGGCTTCAAAGTCGAAGCCGAAACGTTGAACAATGCGAAACTTTGAGCGCGGTTCAACCCGAAATTCCGATATTACTGGAGTTTAAATTCCAACACCAAACCGTTATTTTAACACCTCGACACGTGTTTCGATCACCAAGTGATCGATCATCTTCAGATGTTCAAATTTCTAACTTATCTGGTGACGTTTCGAAGACTTTACCACTTATGAATAGTTTTAAAAACGTCACTAGATGATACATATTTATTTTTGTATGCAAAATGTTATAAATTCAGGTTATTGACAAAATAGTTTTTTTTTTCAAAAAGCTAATTTATCAAATGCAGTAATTTTTTGTCCTTTCTAATATTCTGATTATTTTATAGATCTGTGGAAGGTAACAATCCTAAATAAAAAACTATTTCAAATATAAAGTGTCCTTCTCAAAATAAAATATTTAAGCAAAATTAGTTTTCACGAAATTTAAATTACCTACGCATATATCATTGGAAAATTTATATTAATACCCCCAGTCCGACGTATATTAATACTTTAACGCAATATGATAAACACTGTCGGCCGCCCCTATTGATGTTTTTGCCGCTAGTCTCTATTTTAATGGCTCCTTAGGCTAATTGCACACACACCGATTGTGGACGGCCGATTTTATAACGGTCGTCCAAATTCCAATAGTGAACCACATGTGAGAACGGGACCTGGCACACACGCCTACCGGTGATTGAAGCCGGAGCTATTGATCAGAGGCTACAGACTTGTGATCCGACCCTTGATCCTTGTTTTGACGGATTCAATGTGCGGGTTCCAGGTGAGCCTACGGTTTATTAGAAGACCGAGGTACTTTAACCGCGCTTGCCAGTTGATTTCCCTTCTAGGAACCCTCACATTCCTAGCTGGAGAAGATATGGTTCTTCCCATGGTTATCGCTTTAGTCTTTTCCGGGTTCACTCAGAACTTCCATTTGAGGTACCAGCGCTTGAGGTCGTCCAATGCACGTTGCATATAGACGATCCGGAGCTCCCGACCTATGTAAGATGAGAGGAGAGCCCGTATCATCGGCGTAAAAAGACATCTTTACAGCGACCTCCGAAGGTCGCTGGTGTATAGAGCAAGTCTAACGTGGACAAGAGCACAGCTCCCTGTGGCACTCCAGCGAGGATATCCCTGTGGTCAGACAGGGAGCCCTCTACGCTAATCTGACTACGTAATCCATCTTGATTTCCTACAGGTTGAAGCCTGGCTCCCTTCCCCTTTCAACTGACGCTAATCTGAAAAATTGATTCCAACTAGTCATAAGCTATATCTGCAGTTAATTCTGTAGGATATCCACTGCGCCACTTGCAGACAAAGTCCGGAAATAACTTTACAAACGCATACTCGAGGGTGGGACTCAGAATAATAATTAAATATCTTCCAGAGAGGTGAAAACACAATTCCTTTGTCTCCCATGTGAACCTACGACTTTGTAAGTATGTGTGGCAGATACCCGGTCCTCTTCGTCTGGAATAATCTGAAAAATATTTGTCATTTGTCAATATCTGACAATGTCAGAACCCAGATTAATGGCTACGGGGCGCGGTTGGGGTCTGTTACGTTTTTCCTTCAACTTTTTTATGAAACCCATTCCAACCATTTTGTTCACTGTATTAATTTGTACAGGTCTTTTTTTGACGTTTTTCATACTCTTCTGTGCTCAACTTTGATTGTTCATAAATATTGCTGGTTTTCTATGATCCTGTGACTCACATTCACATGCAATATGGCGGCATTTCCGTTCCCTACACAGTTCATCACGTTGGTGAGTTATCGCTATTCAAGTTTTACATTCATATTTGTTAAAAGTTAGATAAAATGTTAATTGCCTATTATCTAAAGCCAATTTAAAAATAAGGACGGTTACAGTTATGATTATAATGAGAAAAATATATTGCTTATCAGAAATTTAAAAAAATCATTTAACATGCAAAACGGTTGGCCTAATAATAATAATAATATAGAACAACTACTACTTATCAAACCTTGTTATGAATTTAGGCATAAGGTTATCGAATGTAATGGGTAGATTTTTCAATCACAAAAGTTATTTAAACTTTGAAATGAAAATACTAAATAAAGCACAAATAAATGGTCATATAAAGTAAATCCTTCATCGGGGTATTGTCCAAAAATATTCGTGCATGTCGAATAGTTAAAAAAAATTAACACCGGAGAAACTCTTTCCGCATGATATTATAAAGTGATATGAGTGGAAATGGATAATTTTGAACTATTTAAGGAATCATAATTGTTATTGAAAATATATCTAGGTAGTGCATCTAAATCATAATGTGACTTCAGATAATAAGGTTAAATCAATATTTGCATTAGGTACACGGATTTCTGTGAATCGTGACGTCGAACTGTGGCTCACAATTCTCTAGTGGTGTGGTGCAAAGGAATTTGATATCTCACATCAGAGTTTCTTTCACACTGATGTTAAATTGAAAGTTGCATTGAAATTATTCACAAAAAATTGTCAATTATGTGACTCTTTTCTGCTGGGTAAGTAGGCAAAATGATGCATAACTCATACCTTCGGACCAGTCACAGTTGACCAGATTACGTACATATCTAGAGTAGCCAAACTATTTTGAATAGTTGGCAATGTTTATGACATATAAAATGGAGTTGTTACTTTTTTTAGACAACGATGCTTTTTCTTTCGGAGTACGGCTGGTACCAAGCCGTGTGAAATGATTTGCGGAGATATTTTTCGCGGTTTTATGTTGCAATTCAATTCTTTCAGTTCCGATTGTGAATTCTACATGAATTACTAATTTCACTGTGATCGCTGTGAGCTAATTCCTCTTCTAAATGTATGCATTTGTCTTGCAGTGTTTCCTCTCATTCCCTCTGATGGAACCCAGTTGGTTTCTCTTGTCATTGCTTAAAATGATTCTTCAATAGGGAGCCTATTATCCGGACATATCTGTTGGGTACCTTAAATGCCACCCAATGAGTCCGTAATTATAAAGAATTTTTTATATTATGCTTGAGGGATAGTAAATTAGCGGATTTTTCCTTATTGTCAAGCCGGTTGTCACAAAGGTTGGGGCTACCCGCCTACCCTTTCTTCTGATTTTGTCACAACGGCGGAAATTTGAGTGTATGCTTGATATTAGTTACATTTCACATTAAATCACCTTGATGGATATCAAAGCGAGTGAGGTTAAGGCGGTGGTGTCGTTGGAAGGTTGATATGATAGAAGAGAAAAAATTGGAGTTTAGTTTGGACCGTTCTTGTTGCTATATTGTGCCGTATCTGAAAATTGATACAGTCTTTGACGTTTTTCCATATTAGGTATATTACCAAGACTTTGATTGTACTTCCGCCTGCAACGTATACAGGTTGATTCACAGTGGATGGCAAATTAGACATTTCAGGTGAACCAGACAACTGATCGCTTTTATTCGGACATTCTCTACCCAACTAAAATATTTTCAACGATGCGGTGTTGCCACTTTCATTAGAAAGTGGTAGCAACTTTGATTTTTTACAAATGCAACACCCTATATATACTATTATTTTTGGAATCTACAACAATTAGCTGAAAACTTTTCTTAATATTTCCTTATACCTATCTGTTACCATTTTCGAAATGTGAATTAATTTCAATTTTTTTTCGGAAATCGTGACCTCTAAAAATGCTGATATCTTCAATTAAAGAATACTATGGCACCGAAATTTGGTTTGGAGTTAGGTGATACTTGGAGGCTTCCCACACTTCAGCGTAATCTCCGTTACTTCAATACAGGATGGTAAAAAATTACACTTTTCTCGTTTTCTTGAAAAAGAGACCGAAAGTTGATTATTTCGAATGAAACACCCTCTGTATTATTACAAATTCAGAAAGCTGTTAAAATTTGCCTTCTTTCTATATATATCATGTGTATACCCAACTAGTCAAGCTTCGGACTTGAAACATTTATTTGTGAAAATGTCTCTTCAGAACGATATTTCCATTCGGTATTTTGTAAGCAGGCCATGATTAGGGTAAGATGGGGTAATGCCGGTCAGTTAACGATATTTGAGCATTAAAGTGAAAATACAAAACCTATAATTATTATAATGAAAGCAAAAGATAAAGTAACATTTATTCTATGTAATTGAACACAATTGAAAAGAAAAAACTGACATTTTGTAATATAAAACACTCAATTTGAAAAACTTGTCATTGACCGGAATTGTCCTGACCTGTGGGTATTACCGGTCATGGGCATGGGCAATACCGGTCATACACAAAAATCACAAATATATCCCCTCGGTGTATCCTTCCCGGAACACAACTGTGCCCATTGTCCACATGTTGTACATCTATACCAAACTTCACTATTTGGTCCATAATCATTGCACACAAGGCAAACATTTAAATCTGTTTCATAATTTTCGCTATCACTACAGATTTCCATATCAATATCAGATTCCGAGGACGACTCTGTTTGTTTTTTGCTTAATTTTGTTCGAAGTTTTTTCCGGGTAGTGATGTCTGCTATCTTTGGTTCTTCAATACTACTTTTATCAAGCGAGTCTATTATGTTTCTCTTAGCGTCCTTTAAACCTTTTCTTTTATTCGTCTTACCTTTATTCTTCTCCAGTTTTTCATTCTTCTTAAATTCTTTTTCTTGCAATAGGTCCTTAAGAGGTGTAGAAGTTAGAATGGTCGAGTGCTGTTTAGGTCTCCGATTTGGTTTTTCAACTCTCGTAGTCTTTTTTGGTTTCGGAAGGAGATCTTCAACAGTGCAATTGAGTGAGGACAGAGGTTTTGAAGTAGAAGGTGTTGCAGAGACTATATTTTCTGAAGAGTAATGTTGTTTCGAGCATCCTGTCACTTCTTGGCCCGGCCCTATATCTTGAGCAATATCATCGTCAAGTTTAATATCATTTTCATTGATGAAAACAGTTATTTCTTTTGGCTCATTTGAAGCTTCAGCAGCCAAGTAGTCTTCATCTTTGAAGACATGCGGGTTAATGGGGTAGATTCCGGTTGCTTTGAACCCTGCCTCTCCTTTACCTACCGATGCAGCGTTAGCAAAAGCTTTTCGAAACAATGAGGCAACTTCATAAGGTGATATTTTTTCTCCTGCATGGGATTTCATGTAGAGATTGCACTCATTCCTATAATAGGACTTGAGTGGTCCGTAAAACGAAACGTCTAATGGTTGAGTCCTGTGAGAGGTATGGGGTGGTATGGATAACATGGTAATATTATTTCCTCTGCAAAAGTCATAGGCTGCCAGTGAAACGTGACTTGAATGGTTATCTAATATTAATAAGACTTTGTCAGATTCGGATGGTTTTGCATGAACCACAAAATGTTTTAGCCATTTAACGAATAGTTCTTCTGTTATCCAACCATTCTTGGAACATTCATATGCAGCTGCAATAGGACCATCTTTTTCCAATAGGGATGAATGCCGTTGGCGAGGAAAAATAAACATTGGAGGTATAAAACCTCCAGCAGCACTCATTGCACAAACAACTGTTATGTTGCGACCTCTTTCCCAGCTTGTCATCGAACCAACCCTCTTTTGACCTTTTGCCGGATCCTGGACCGTGGAAATTCCGGTCTCGTCGACATTGTAGATGTTTCTCGGTGAAAAGTTGTGCTTCTCATTAACTTGTTGTAAAAGTTCGTAGAACCGGTTGACTTCTTCTTTATTGAAGGCAGTAGCCCTGTTTAAACTAGTTGCTTCTGCTTTTCGTATTGAAATTTGATTTCTCTTTTGAAAGGCTATCAGCATATCGCGACCTGCTAGTTTTAATTCGGTATTAAAATTATGGGTTATGCCATTTTTTTCAGCATACTGAAATGCCATGCGTCGGACTTCCTTATTGGTACAGCCATAAAATATGGATGCTAGATATTTTATTTGGTTTGCCATTTCTTCCTCCTGCTCCCTGGTGAAAACAGTGTTTCTGCCCATAGTAGGAGTAACCATTTTTTTCTTTTCAATTCTTTCTTGCAAGGTGGAAAATGGAATTTCAAATCGTTTAGCAGCAGCTCGCATAGAAATCTCACCTTGTTCATATAATCGTTTGGCAGCATTAAGATGTTCAACAGACCACTTTGCCCTCTCAGTTTTTCTGATACGTGGCTTCGGCATCTGTAATATTAATATCTGTAATAAAAAAAAAAAAAAAAAACATTAAATAATACGTTTTTTATGTGGGCAATGCCGGTCACTTGACCGGTTTTACCCTCACATGCATGCCCTTATTCAAAAATCATTTGAAGTCTTAACGGTTTTAATAGTATTCATATTGAAGCGTAAGAGGATTATACGGTGTAGTAACCTACTCTTGAAATAGGTATAGTTCTAAAAAATAGTAAATATAAGTACTTACAACTTATTTTCAGAGTTGGTGTAACTACAAGAAACACCATAAAAACAAAACCGCCAATCGTGTTACTTCAGCGCTTGTCTCTGACTGAATCTACTCAAGGCGGTCGGTACGACAATACTAAAATCCGCCACTAGAGCGATTCGCTGTTGCCAGATTCAACTCCTTTCAAGGTAATATTGGTATGACCGGTATTGCCCACTGACCGGCATTGCCCTATTTTCCCCTACTATCTGACAGTAATAACGTTGTAAACTAACATTCTTTCTGACGCTGAGTCTACAGAGGAGATGGATGTCGAGCTTACGACTCCAACTGATCTCCCTGTAATTTAGATCAGGAGCGAGAGCTTCTCAACTCTCCAACTCCTGATCCAATAACTGAACTTAAAAAAAAGGTTTGGTGGTGCAGCCAGGAAACGATTGAGTCGTCTCCTCAAGAGCGGGGTACCTTATTAAACCGTCTTGAACCAAATTATTGAGCGGCGTACGCAAAATCTGTCTCAAGTGGAGGAACAAATCCCCCCATGAGCAGGTTAGCAAACGTTTCCATTCAAGTTTAGCTGACGTGCAAAAACCCTTATATGGGAAGATTGTCGCGGGTATCAAGATGGGAAACTTGCACCTTTACTATCCGACCACCTCATTAACGATGAAACAGTAGAGCATATACTTTGTGCCTGCCTCGCTGGGGAGCGAATGGGACCTGAAAGACCACTCAACATACAAACTAATCGGCTTCGTTAAGAAGCTGGGTTTATTTGGTTGAGTGTGAATAGGTGTGAGCCACAATAAACCCTTGTGGGTTGCGGTGGAGGGTCGAATAGACCTACTCACTTTGGACCTAACCTAATAACGTTGTGACAGTCTCCTAATAATATTGACATTTTCGTCACTTCAGAAGTTTCAAATACCTCCAAAACGATAGGATGAAACTATTCAAAAGAAGTTTATATGAATTTGTTTATTATTTTGGCTCAGTGTGATAAAATTATCAGCAGAACATGTAGAAAGTTCAATGAAATGTATCCGAATCTACCGCCAATGAACCTCAAGAAATTTATGTCGCTTTGTCGATAATATTTTTGTTGGATATAGAATATCCGAATATGCTCCATTAAATTTTCTAAGTGGTCCGATGTCTGGTTCACCAGAAACGTCTAATGAGCCATCCACCGTGAATCAGCCTGTATAATTTAGATTTGACAGGACTATTGAAGTGACGTCATTGGTTGATATCACAGAGACGATCATTGGTCACTGAAATTACCTATTAGAAATTCAATTTCTTTTTTAGTGGTGATTATAGGAAATATACAGGGTGTTAGAAGAGCTCAGTTTTGGTTAAAATAACCGTAACTTTCATTGTTTAAGTTCATTGTCACTTATTTTTGAATAGAAAGGCTTTGAAAAAATTGTCACAAGCACGCTTTAAAATATCATTCTTTTAAATCTTCATTCTTTATTTTAGGTAACCACCCGGTTCTTATACATTATTCTTGCCTCTGAGGGGAACCTCAGACTATATTTTTGTGCTCATTGCAGTGCGGACAAATACTGTTTTTACAATCGTTACTTACAGTTGTGATCCCCAGTACGAGCTACGTGGAACTGCACTGAAATTTCGTTAATGTGCGTATTCGACAGTTTTTTTGAAGAAATCAACAGTCTGATCAAACCCTATTTGAGGAACAAAAAATCCTCACGTATTCAAGAATCGAAGATTATCATTAAAACATGTCGACGCTGCGACAAGTTTTGGTTTTCTCAAAGGTTCACAATTGAACAATTTATAAACAAAAATTATGATTTGAATACCATACTTGTTTTCATGCTTACAAGTATCATAAATTTGATTTTATGGAAAGTCAGTTCATTTTAATATACTTCATATACTATTATTGGCATTATTATTACTATTATTTTGACTTTATTGTCTATTCTTGTTTGTTTAGGTGATTAAGAAAAGAATTAAGGTCATCAAAATTATAATCTAGAAGTCTGATGGAGATACTACTGGGTACCTAGATACTACATCGAATAATCATGATCATTATTTGCTCTTGTACAAAATATTGACATCATAAGAAATATAGTACAAATAAATATTGAACAACCTACGGAAGCAACAATTGTTGCTTGTATGTAGGATCAGAACACAAAGTATAGTAGTAGTAGTAAAGTAGTTAATCAGCTGTCGCCCCCATACGAGAACTTGTGCGAGCTAAGGACTAACGAGGTCTTACCTTTTAACGTGTGATTCCTAACACGGTTGCAGAATCATTCCAGCTTCAACCAGATAAATTCTCTAGAGAAAAATATCTGGTCGAGGCGGGAATCGAACCCACGATCTTCCGATCGTAAGTCGGGCGCACTACCACCGCGGCCAATTCCACAACTAAAATATATACATTTCAAGTTTATGCTTTACTAGGCATTAATAAGAAACAAATTAGTACTATGATTACAGGATAAACAATTTGTAAACAACCATTCACTATAGTTTTTGTTTAATTGTATCCATTTGATAGACTCATAGAATGGAATCCGGGCTGTTAGGCCGTGGTCGAATGACACCTGAAGTAACAAACGTTTCGTCTGCTACTGCGGCTAATCTCATCAGTGGTATGTGCGTTGACTGCGAGGACAAATATTATGTCTCAGCAACACTGCATCGACTTTAGTCGACAAAATACTGATAGGCAGTACATTTTTCTTCGAGAAAGATGTATTGAATTTTCGCAGTAACTCATCAAGGTGAACTATGCCCCTTACACATATGTATAAAGTTCTTCATTATAACTTTTTCTCAGATCGTGGAAGATGAAAATTCCCAAAAAAGGTAGATACAAATTTCTTTTCCTCCACAAAAATTACTTAATTTATATCAGGGAATTTTGTGTTCATTTTTTATCTAAAATGTGGTACTCGTTTGTAGTTGATAGTTCATTGAAATCATGGTATATTCCTTCAGATACTTTTCATGTAAACAAACTGAGTATTTCAGTAGGCTCAGTTGAATTAAAAAAAAATGGTGTACTGAAATAGTTTAATATTTACTGAAATTTTGCTACCCAAATAATATATCAAACATACTGTGATTTTGAGAGCGTGTCGCTCATTGAAAATTGACCTGTTGAACTCTGCTCCCTAACAATTCTCTAAATAATACTCATTATGCATAACCTTGGTTCTATTGACAGAACAATTATTATGACATGGATTTTAGCAGGCGCACGTTCATAAAAAAACGTGTTGAACGAATAACATTCTTGAAAATCCTCTATTTGTAGATTGTGTTTTAAATAATTGCAATAACTGGATCTTTATTTGCCAGTTAACCTGTATACCGTATTGAAAGAGCCCTATATCAAAGTTCAACAACAATTGCGGAAAAAGTATTATTCTGCTTATCGTACATACCTACTCATTCTTTTGGGATGACACAATGGTGTATCACACAATATCTCATTGATACAGTTGACGATCGACATTACTGTTTCTGATACCAGAGGTCAAAATAATGACCTGTTTGTTTACGTCTCGTTTATAAGAAAATATATAATGAAATCCGTGAATCTAAATCATATTTTAACCGCCAGATCTTCATTCAGAAAATCAAATGAAAAGGGTCAATTGAAAATCTGCTCATTTGGGTTAGGGAATAGTCATAATAATTCCATTATATAGCTCAAGACTGATTCTGTCAATGATTTTAGACATTTCCTAAAAGTTTGAACATCATTGAGGATATCCTAAATATACAATTGAAACTTCACAATTATCTATTTTTTTAAACACATATGACATTATTAATTTTGCAGTCGAGTAGTGAAAATATATATGAAAGCGTGGAATATATAGAGAAAGATACCATTTCTTTACATAGAAGAGACGCGGAAATGACAAATGTCTTTGGTCATGTCATGAATTTTATGTACCACCGGGCAGCTACAGCAAAAAAACTATAAACTAGAGGAAATCGATAGCCATACACGGAAAAATGTAATAATAATGGTAGATTTTATTGCCAAAATCAAACGTTGTCAATTTGTGACCAACATAACGATTTGTAAATATTTTCAATCACTCTTATTTAACTCCTTAAAATCAAGGGTATAGAAAATACATTGAAACTATTTGGAAAAATATTGATAGTGTATTATATATTATATTCATTGAATTTTATCACAATACGCAATGGTTTGAGCCATACAGGGTGGGACACCGAAAACAAAACAGATCGAATATCTTCGAAACACATGTTCGATTTGTAATCCAAGGGGGGCATCTTTCTATCATAACCTCAACAGTCATACCTCTCCCCCCCATCCCTCGGTCACTATCACCCAAACAATTTGAATAGGGAAAGTAGTAAGTGTGACACATCGTTAAAAAGGTAATTTCATAAGGAATTCGGCTGTGTCAATTTTCGCTACCTAACTTTCTATTTTGGCACCCTCTTGCGAAAAAAACTGTTCCGTATTCCAAATTATGATACTAATTTGACATAAATTCGGTGACAATGCGTTATAAGATAAGTGGTGGTTCGGAAAGTATGATTTGTTTGTCAATGCAAAAAAAATATGGTGGCTCCAAGACGGACGAAATTTGTGATTTTGGTTCGATTCGAATCAAAATTAGTATGTGGGGATATTCAGAGTAGGAAATTATGATTGTTTTATGGATGCAAAAAAACAAGATGTCGGACGATATTTGTAGTTGTAGTTCGGTTCGATTCAAAATTGGCATATGGAGATTTTACAAGTTTCCAGTATGACTAAAAAGAATTAATTAAATTAATAAAAAAAGATTCTATGCAAATGCGCAGATTTATTCTGTGCGTAACAGAATTAAAATTTTACCGCGCCAGAATTCGTTTTGAAGATATGAAACAAAGGAATATGTAGTGTGTCTGTGGTGATATTGAAAAAATACATTGGTGTGGAATGTACAGTGTTGGCACACTGTACGTTCTACATTCTGTAGAGATTTGATTTTTGGTTCAGGCGTAGACCTTCATGGCCTGCACTTTTCGCAATACTTAATCTGAGTAACAAGTCAAACCCAGCCTACTGCAATTCCGCGAAAAAGGCAAATTTTCTAAAGTTTCCTTCGCGTTGGAGATACCTAAATAAGTTATTCAAAAAAGTTGCTTAGAAATCGATTTTGACCTTACACACCGAATTTCAACCCAAAATTCGAAATTTGATTTTTTTGTCCGATTTTCAACTAATGGTTTCAAATAAAAAGCTACAGAAATTATAAAATTATCAAAATCAATGAAATAAATGTAT